ATCACTATATTCATCAGATGATAACAGTCCACCTGAATGTAAATTTCTGCTGGATGAAAATTGGCACTTCCACCTTCATGAGATGAGCTCACCATGCAGCTTCCGTCCAAAGGCCAGACAGCAAATGCTTAGCCAGTTCCTCATGCTGTGTCATATTATTGCTCCAGAAGTCTCTCCCTGTGTGTGAATACAGCAACTGAACTAATCTTATAAACCTCCTTGTCTTGGGGCCAGACATCTCTGTAATTATAATGCCCCCGTTTTCTAACCACAGTGGCTATGAGATTTATGAGATTCATTGAGAAAGGGGTTGCACTTTAGAATACTGCAATACTCTGTCTGCACTAAAAAATTAATGACACAAGAAACTATCCAAAAGGCAAGAAGTAATGGAACCACTCCATTGTTCAATAATCACTCTAGTATTTAGTACTCTAAGGTTGGAGAGATGGTTTCCAGCGTATCATTCTGCTAAAACAAAAGAGAGCTTTCAAGAAAGAAGAACCTGGGGGGGGGTTCTTAACAAGAAGTTGAAAAAGATCCTAATATTGTCAAAGGATGTGAAAGAGAAAACACCGCCACAGTTTGCCCTTAAGTGAGTATGTTGTGATAGACAGTAAGAGCAGGAACCTTCGTTAACCACACTGAAAAATATAACCCCTTAATATATGCATAGACCTTCTGAAAGACTCTGAAAATAAAATGTAAATTAATGTAATGTTAAAATTAATGTCCAGTGGCTTTTGAAAGTAGTATCACAGTATGCATGCCTCCTTTATGCTTCACACTGGTCTTCAGTAGAGGCTAATTTAGTGCTGAAAGCTCTGAGCCAAGGAGCTCAATATTGACAAAATAAATGTGTTCCCTAAATGTTGACCAGAATGGTGGCTCCTGCTCAGAACCCCAGCAACTGGAAATAAGAGGATAAATGCAAGTTCAAGGGTAGCCTGGGCTACATACTGAGTTCCAGGCCAGACTGGCTACAGAGTGAAATCCTATTTCAAACTACAATATGGCTTAGGAATTGACAAAACATTTTTCGTAATATTGTCAATGAAGATACATTTCCTCTGAGAGAGTGGTCTTAAGGAAAGCAAAGGGCACAAACACTTTGCCTGCTTTCTGAGATGCTGCAGGGATAAGACAGGTGACATATTTTCCTTAAGACTAGGTAACAGGCCATGAATGCTCTTAAAAAGATACCTTAAAGTTGTTCAAGCCTTCTGTATGTGGGTGCCAGTTAAGAGGCCTGGGAATTCTGTGGGACCACTAACTGTGGAACCAGTATTTATCCTTAGTACACAAATGAACTTTGGGAGCCCATTCCCCATGGAGGGATACTATTGCAGCCTAGATACACAGAGGGCCTACGACCTCCCGCAAATGATGTGACATACTTCGATGATCCCCCATGGAAGGCTTCACCCTCCCTGGGGAGTGTATGGGGTTGGGATGGAGGGTCACTGAGGGGCATGGGAGGATGATGTTTCATGTCTAAAGGTCTATATTTGATTGTTTAATTAATGAAACAGACATTTAACTTCAATAATTTGAAAAATGTATATGATTTCAATAACATAAATACCACTTAATTTATTTCTCAAATATGCATTCTTGCTACAACACAGCAGAGGTAGGGACTTCAGCCAAGCCATCACTCCCTATGGTTTTATTTACCCAGAGTCAGCCACCATCTAAAACTATTTTTAATATTTTATTCTATTTTTAAAGAAAAATTCTGTAGAGAGAGCATATAAGAAAGAAAACATGTATTCACATACATTTTAGTACAAGGTACTATTATAACTGTTTAGTTATTTTTATCTCAATGTATCTAAATTATCTTACAAGTGTATGTACAAGAATATGCACACACATATACATATATATAATGATAGAAATTATAGAAATAGAAAATGAAAAGAAATTCAATATGAAGTTAAATTGCAGATGAAGAAATTTAAAATACACTTTTTATGATCATGTAGAATATTTAATAAATTCTATAACTGTGTCTTATTCAGACCAAAGGTATTATTGCAAGGGCTTGTGGAGAATAGAGACAGAGTGTGTCAGGAATTTTTCTTTCAAGTGTCCAGCACTATAATGACCAGAACTCAAAAATCCAAACATGTAGCATATTTAAACTTATATTCTAGAAAAAAATGTATTAGTATACACATGAGATTTTGTAGAAATGAATAAAAATAATAAAATTGAATCCCATTGTATACACATACCTCAAGGGAATCTGGTTTGTTTAATGGAATTTGACTTATTTTATATTTCATACCCACATTGAGAAGGCTGCAAAATTCTAACAATACTGCTAGAGCCTTTACACACACAGACACACACAGACACACACACACAGACACACAGACACACACATACACACACACACACACACACACACACACACACACACACACAGTGTCTGGCATCCAGCATAGGCCAAATCCTCCCATAGATGGAGATTACTATGCTAACCCATGTTGTGAAACCCTCATGAGCAAGATGAATAACGCTCTTTGTGTTCAAAGTCCACACTCACTTTGAGTTGAGAAGAGATGAAGCCCAAGTAAACACAAAGACAATATCGTTATATTTTGAATTCACTGATGCCGAGAAAAACAATTGTGCTTGATTGTGTAAAGAACCGGAGGCTGTACAGTCTGATCTTATGGAGGCATTTGCTTAATTGGGGTTCCCTCCACTCAGATGATTTTAGCTTGTGTCAAGTTGACATAAAATGATACAGCATGACTGTGAGTAATCTCTTCATAACCCTTGGTACATGTGTAATGTAACCAGAATATTTTTTTTAGATATGTGTAGAGAATGCATTCATCCTTCCTGTATGATAAAAATTGAGCTAAATTATGTCCATATGTAAATGTCTAGTGGTGTGTATCTTTCTCATGATAATACATAGTTTTGTGTAATTAAATACTTATGATCTTGGCAATGGAAAAAAAAGAATAGGAGGCTGTTAAATATAAAGAGATCAATGCAAACTTCCCTGATACGTGATACTAGTGTTGAGCTATGAATGCCGACCAGCAACTAATCTGTGAGGCAGTGAGAGAACAGCACTGGCTGGGTATCAAGTACCAATGTCAAGGTCTGGAAGCAACTCAAATTCCCAAAGCATGTGCCACACCATGGGCAAAGCATGCTATTATGAGTGTCCATACTTCAAAAAAAAACCTGGAGTCATTACATAGGTGCTGATACAAAGATTCTTTCATGGGTACCCTTGATCTGTTTGTTTCTTTATGCCTTATTCCAGTAAAATCTCACCCAACAAATCCTGCAGCCCAGCATATTTAAGTTTAAAAATATTTTTATTTCAATAACAAAAGTGACCATAAGAGGAGATGAATTACTAAAGAAAAGATGCTACACACACACACACACAAACCCACACACACACACACACACACACACACACACACACACACACACACACACACACACGATAGATATACATGTATATATGTGTATGTACATTGGGGGTGTAATTTATCTTAAGGGAAAAGGGAAAGTTGACACAGTCTAACAAAATGCACCCAAAGATTATTATGCTAAGTGAAACAAGTAGGCCAACCACACAAACCCAGGGTAATTCTACTCACATGAGATGACTCCAATAGTGAGATCCATAAGACAGAATGTAGAAAAGGGTTGATAGGAGAGGGAATAAGAATTTAGAGGTGGTTATCTAATGAAGATTTTGTTTTAGAAAATGAAACAAATATTCAGAAGATAAAATGTTGTGGTTACACAACAGTGTGAAAGAATTTCATAGCAGCTGACACCCACAGTTTAGCACTGAGCTGAACTCCTGGAATCCAGCTGCAGAGAAGGAGTAATGATGGGGGAAGCGCTTCTGTGTATGTGTTTGTCTTACTGGATGATAAATAAAATACTGTTTGGCCAAAGAGGAAGCAAGTTAGGCAGGACTAGGAGTAAAAGAGGATTCTGGGAAATGTAGTAGAGAAGTGGTGATCCAGGCAGGAAGTGACATAGCAGGGAGACTCTTATTTAAAAAGGACAACCAGGAAGTACTCCCTTTTCCCCTTCACTTCCTCCAGTGGTGCCAGGTGAGCCACCGGCAAGAGAGGGTGCTAGCAGAAGGCATCCTCTATAAGATAAGACTTATAAAATATATAGATTTTTTATAATGCTGAGCTAACAGATGAGAATCTTAGTCATTGGCCAAGCAGCATTTGTACCTAATATAAGTCTGTGTATTATTTTGTCCATCCATGTGGAGGGCAGAACTCGGGCTGCTGGCAGAGTCCGCCCATGTGGCAGTAGGGCTTTGGTGGAAAGATTTATCATAACAGAGTAATGAGCAAAGGGGTCAAGACCAGGCTGGGGAAAACCTGAGAAACAGTGGACCTGAACAAGCAGGAGCTCATGGTGCCAGACTGACAGATGTGAAACCAGCATAGGACTGAACTAGGCCCCCTACACATGAGTCTCAGTTAGGAGGCCTGGACAGTCTATGAGGCCTCTGATAGTGGATCAGCATTTATCCCTATTGTACAAATGGTCTTTGGGAGATCATTCACCATAGAAGGATACTCTCTCAGCCTAGACACACAGGGGAGGAAGTGCCTAGGCCCTGCCCAAAATGATGTTACAGATTTTGATGATTCCCCATGGAAGGTCTCACCCTCCCTGGGGAGCAAAATGGGATGGGATGGGGGCGTCGGTGGGGGGCATGGGAGAATGTGAGGGAGAGGGAGCTGGGATTGATATGCAAAATAAGATTGTCCCTAATCTAAAAAAATCTTAATTTCAACATAAATAACTTTGAAATTCCTCAAATATGTATAGATGTATGTGTCCAAATATATATATATGGACAAATTCACTTCGGGAATGTAGAGATGGAGTGTGTGTGTGTGTGTGTGTGTGTGTGTGTGTGTGTGTGTGTATGTTTTTTGCCTTAGTCTATATTTGTGTCCCACATGTTGTATGCCTGGTACCTGAGCAGGTCATAAGAAGCTGTCAGATCTGCTGAAAAGACAAATGGTTGTGAACTGCTGTGTGGGTTCTGGAAATTGAGCCGGGTCATCTGGAAGCACCCCAAGCATCACATGCAGAATTTCTAGACAAGAGAATTTACAGGTACTTGGAATCCATTGTCCTACAGAAGCATTACTCATCGTTTCTGCTATTTATATATTGTTGTGGTCAAAATAAGGTGCATCCTCAATTAACTCAGGAGAAATGTGGTTTTTCAACTTTGTAACTGAGTCCAGAAGGCTATACTTCTTGTGCTTGTGCTTGTGCTTGTGCTTGTGCTTGTGCTTCTTCTTCTTCTTCTTCTTCTTCTTCTTCTTCTTCTTCTTCTTCTTTCTTCTTCTTTCTTCTTCTCCTCCTCCTCTTCCTCCTCCTCCTCCTCTTCCTCCTATTCCTCCTCTTCCTCTTCCTCTTCCTCCTTCCTCTTCTCAGTCTTCTCCTCCTTAGCTCTTGGTCTAGACCTGCACAGATGACCATAGCTGGATTAACAAACTGATGCTGACTGAGTCGCTCACATTAAATCACCAGTAACAAATCCATTACCTTCCCCTGAAAATCAACTCTATCACTCTACTATATTCCCTTGTCTTTGCCTTCCCACAAAATTTCAAGTCTTGTTTTATGTTCTGTGGTGGTTTGAATAAGAATGGCTTCCACAAGCTCATGTATTTGAATTCTTAGAAACCAGGGAGTGGAACTCTTTGAAAGGATTAGAAGGATTACGAATTAAGTGGTCTAATCTTGTTGAAGAAAGTACTTCAGTGGGGTGGGCTTTGAGGTTTCAAAAGTCAATTTGAGGTCCACAGTGTTC